ATTAGTATTTAATGGAACTAAATTCATGTGAGAAATTTCTATTGAGTGAATACTCATACAGAACAGTCTAATAGGAGAACAATTAAAGTTTGAAGATTCTTGAACAATATGTTTCAAATTAGGTAATTGAAGTGAAGCATGGTTTTGTGGTGCTGGTTTAGGATTTAAATAATGGTTGAGATTGAAAAAGATTGATTGATGAGTCCATGTCTCTTTTTCATTAAAACAAGGATACCCAATAGTAACTTCTTGATAATTAATATTATTTTTGATTAAAGTCCATTGTTCAGTATCCATAAGATATCTAATGATATATGTTTGTTTAAAATATGCAGTTCTTGAAATAACAAGAATATCGCAAAATTCATTATTCTTTGTCCATGGAAGATCAATATAAGAAATAACTGAATGAGAATCAAAGAATATTTGGAAATGATCAAATATATTAGTTATATTATATTGTTTAAATAAATTATAAATAAGAACTTCATTAATAATATTATCTTTAAAAGAATCTGGCATTAAGTTATTAAACATAGAGCTCATTAGTTCTGAATCAAATTTATAAGTTACTGCTAACATAGGATCACTCGTTATTAAAGAATTAAAAAATGAACATATCTTACTACATAGTCTTAATGATGCTATTAAAATATTAGATGGTAAATTTGGATAACATTTTGAGAAAAAGAGAGCATATACTGATAATACTGGATGAATATTTTCGCATGTCTTATAATTTAATTCAACAAAATTTGATAAAACTTGAAAAATTTCTTGGAACGGTACTTGAGGGGATGAAAGACATGGAATAATTTGGTTGAGAGTTCTTAGTAATTCGATAATGTTATGATATTTCTTTGCATTGAATAAACACTCAAACCAATACATCCCGTTTAGAATCATTTCTTGAATAAATTCTTGTAAAACAAAATCTGGTGAATTATCATCAATTGTTATTATTTCAAAATTACGAGTAACATAATCAAGGAAGAATCTATTAAGACTTAATAATAATGAGTCTAATACATCAGGATCTTTTGAAGTTTTTAAGATACTAAATAATACAGACCTTGTTTTTTCTATGAAGTTATGATATGAAAATTGAACGGATGAACGCCTTGGGATTGTAGTAATCATAATAGTTTCCCATTGTTGTGAGAAAGAAAGTTGAATTAATTGTAATAGTGATAATATATCTAATAATTGGTCTTTTGAAGTTGAGGTTGAATTACAATATCGTTCCATTGTTACCATCAAATTTGGATATAATACTTCAATACCAGGTAATCTTTTTTTAAATAAACTAGGAAGTTGTTTTAAAATAAAAGATAATACAATACTATTTTGTGTATCAATTCCAAAAGAGATGACATGATAAATTTTGATTAAATAAGATTGGTCAATAGTGTTATTAAAAGCAAATGTATTTATTATAAGAAATAATGTTTTTAGAGAGAATAAAATTGCCCCAAAATAAACGTGGTGTGATAAATATATTACAGGAAAGCTAATAGTATCAAAATATATAGATAATATAATATTTCCATCAGGGGGTTGTTGAATGTTTTTATTATTTGTATACGAAATCATCTGAACAATTAAATTATAAAAACCTTCTTCAACTAATTCAAGGACATCTGGGTTAGTAATGTTAGCAACATTTCCACAAAAATCTATTTATTATAAATAATTATTTATTTAAATTTGAATAACATTTAACTAACAAACGAATAAAATGAAGCCACATTTTAAGTAATGAAGTTGATGAAGTCATCAATGTAAAATCATATTCTTCATTTTTTAATGATAATATTCCATTATCTAATTTTGTTATATATAATGTATCAAGATATTTACTTTGAATATACTGAGCAATTTTAACCCATTCTAAAGCAATTGTATTAATTGTAATCCATTGTGGATGTAATTTAGAAATTAACTTAACCAAACCCCAATCTTCGTTAGAATGTTCAACCCACATCTCATAAAAAAATCGAATTAATACACCAGCTACTGGTGAAATAAAAACTAATTCTTCATTAGACCATTCAGATCCACAAACATCTTGTACACACCCAATAATTAATCTAAACATTCGAGTAACTTCATCAACCTGTTTTTCTAATGATTTGCTAAGTATTCTTAATATACCAATAACTTTTTTACATAACTCACAATACTTTGGAAATACATTAAAATTTTGTGGTGTAGTTTCTCTTTTACATAAAACTAAAGTTAATTGTTCACATACAACACGTTTAAACTCTTTAAATTTTTGAGCTATAGGTTGGGGAGTGTATTGTTTTAGAATAAACCATGACTCATATATTCTAACACATTGGTCAATTGTTTCAAAAGACTCAACTGGAAGTCTCAAACCAGCACCAATTATTTCCATCATCCTATCTGATTATTATCAGTCTTTTATTCTACTTAATAAAAATAACAAACCATTTACAGTGCTCTTCAGTGTTCAAACTTGCTTGAAATTGATTTAAATTATTTACAATTGACCCTGAGACTTGATGAATAATTGATATTTGAATCTCTTTTGTAAGAACAGAAACTATGTTGGTATGAGGATCAAGGTTAAGAAGTCCTAGTGTTTGAACAGTAGGTGAAAACATTGATTTTATGATTTATCTTTTTTTCTTTCATAGTTTTTATTTTTCGTTTCAAATTTTCATAACCAAATCTTTATTACTCCTCAAAAATATTTCTAGTACTGAATCTCATAATTCTTCCCTTTCTTTTATTTTTATATCCTTTTAAAAATAAATAAAATTTGCAATATATAACAAAAAATAGTTAAATTCGGACTGCAACGATTTGATTTCCAACTGACATACAAATGAGATCAGAATTAGTTCCACACCATGAGATATCATTGACTGGTGATAATGCTTCATATTGGATTGCAACTGGATCATTTAATGTTTCTATAGGATACAAATCCCAAATTAATGCTTTTCTATCTGTTGACGCACTACAAATATGAGTGCTACTATGTGGACTCCAACAAATAGCATTAACATTACTTTGATGCAAAGCAAGTTCAGTGTATGGAACAGCTGGTTTTCTTGCATCAATGACAATAACCTTATTTGAATCAGAAGAGAATGTAGCAATGAAATTAGGATCAAAATGATTCCAAGCTAATCTTAACAAAGGAACAAGACCTTGAGACTCATACAAAATAGTTGAATGTTCTAATGAACGTAAATCAAACATTCTCAATGAACCATCTCCTCCAACTGTTCCAAATAAATCAGGATTAGATGCAAATGAAATGTCATAAACTTCTTTATCATGTGCAATTAATTTTTTTATTGGTTGATGAGTTTCAACTGACCATACAGTAACTGTAGTATCTAAAGAACAAGTTCCTAATCTATCTTTATTGACAGTGTTCCAATCTAATGAAGTACATGGTGATAATGAATCATTTGAAGCACCTAATACAGCAACATTTACCATTTTATTTCCTTGAATCTCAAATAATTGTGGTTTTAATCCTCCAACAACAAGAAGATCTTTAGCACCTGTAGAAGTATCTGGAGAAAATTGTACTTTAGTAGGAGGATATTCAATTTCAGTTTCACATATTTTGAGCATTTGATTTGATTGTTCGTTTAATTGAATTACCTATATAATCAGAGACATTTATTAAACGTAATGACTTATTAAAATAATAACAAACTTCACAACTATTTTTGATTTGACTCATAAATGATGTAGTTGCAATTCTTAATGGTTTATCTTTTCTATTACTCCATGAAACTGAGTATAATGGATTATTTGAAACATAATTAAACACTACATTACGTATCATTTTTACTCTTATTCAATTTATTTTTTTTAGTTTTCACTTTTTTTTTTAATTTTTTAATAATTTCTTTTTGTTTTTTACTATAACAAAAATTAATAAAAAAAAATTCTTTAAATAATAACATTATTAATAACATATTTTAAAAATAACACAAAATATAAAGTAATGTTATAAATCTTTAAAAAGTAAAAAAGTTTTTAGTGAAAAATAAATTCAAGATGAATGGAGTTACTGGCACAGCTACAGTTCAAGAATATTATGAAGCATGGTATTCATTTAATACAAGAAATGTATTAGAAGTGATACGATTTGAAATTAATGGAACAACATTTGAATTAGAAAAAAGTTTACTTAATAATAGAAGGAGTATAATGAGTGCAATAGGATTTCTAGCAGAGAAAAAGAAAGAAAGTATTGAACGAGGAGAAATAATTAAAATTCCAGGAAATAAAAAAGAAGAAAGACAATGGAAAATATATTTTGATTATTTAAAAGGAGAATCAACATATGATATTGAATTAACAAGTCGTAAAGCTGTTGAAAGAATGGTAATATTAATGTATTTTGGAGTTGCTATTCCAGATATATTAGTATATTTAGGAGTTACAAGAGAAACATTATCAGAAATAATGGGAAAATTTTTAAGTGTAATGGATAGAAGAATGACTGATTGTTTAAAAAAGATTGACGGAGAAAAGAAATTAGTAGAATATATTAAACGAGGAGCATTACATATTTCATATTATGATTTAAATGTATATAATTCAAATGAAGATAATATAAAAGATATTTGTCAATATTATGGAATTAATGAACAAGTAGAAGAAATGGTAAAAAGAAAAAAACAAGAAAATGAAGAAAAAATACATGAATTAAATAAAAATGAAACTATGAGTAAAATTTATGGATCATTAAGAGTAAGAAAAGAAAATATTCAACCAAAAATTGATATTCAAAAAATTAATAAAATGAGAGAATTATTAGCTAAAAAAAATATTAAAATTAGTAAAATACAAATTGATCCAATAGAAGATATTAAAGCATTAAAAATTTGTCAAAAAAGAATTAGTACAGTTGTTGTTATGGAAAAATATCAAATTAAAAAACTAAGAGATAGAAAAAAAGATTTTATAGAATTTGTTGATACTGAAAGAAATTTAGTTAATAATATGAAAAAACTTAATGAATTATATAGAAAACCAATGATAGAAGCAGCTAAAAATGGTCAAATTAATGAAAAAGATATTAAACGAATATTTACTACATTAGAAAAATGTATTATTAATTCTGATAAATTTGAAAAAGCATTAAGACCATTAGTTAATTCATTTAAATATGATACTTGTATTGGTAATGAAATTTTTAAAAATGCTATATTAGTTACTCCATATTTACCATTTACTACTGATTATAATATTGCAGATAAAGTATGGAAAAATATTAGAGAACTTCCTATTATTCAAGAAATTATTTCTAAAGCAAATAAAGTTCAAGGAGATAGTCCTGCTGATTTTCCAACATTACTTATTCAACCTGTACAAAGAACAATGAGATATCCATTATTATTAGAAACAATAAAAAAACATACTCCTCCATTACATCCAGATTATGAACAAATTATTAATGCAGAACAAATATTTAAATTCTTTAGTATGACTATTAATCAAAGAGCAAAAATGAGAGATGGATTAATGGATTTAGCTGATCTTTTTAATAATGATGATTTAATAAAAGATGGTAGATATTTAGTTAATCAATCAGAAATTGAAATTAGTAGAGAAAAATATATGGCATTTTTAATGAATGATCAAATTGCATATGTTAAAGAAAAAATATATTCTCAAGCAAAAATAATAAAAACAAAATCTAAAGTTAAACCTTCTATTATTTCAATTAATAAAGATATGTCAATTGATCATAGTTCATATTGTATCTACTTCAAAGAAGATATTTTCAGATTTGAAAATAAACAAATATGTTCTCAATGGGTAGATGAAATTCAAGGAATTATTGAAGATAAATTTTATGATTTACTTAATGATGAAGCTTGGTATAGTCAATATCTTAAAAAATAATTTTTTTATTCATTATTATTCATTCAGTTTATAATGATTTAGATAAAGAATAAAAATATTAATAATAACAATAAGAAAGTAAAGTGAAATAAAAAGAATAAACATTAATTTCTTATTGTTATTTAATTTGAAAATACTCTTTTAAACTTGTAAAACAACACAAAATAACAGAGTGACCTAGTTAATTTATCTCATCTCAATCTTCTGGCTTCTCTTTCGGCTTCGAGAAGTGTAAGGATATCACCTACTCTAATTGGTCCTTTTACATTTCTAAGGATTTGTCTGTTTTCTCCAATAATATCACATCTTACTTGTAATACACCTCCTCTTGATCCAGTACGACCAAGAATTTCAGTAACTTGAGCATAGATAACTGGAGTTTCAGTAACTTGTGTGGACATTCTCCTTTAGAACTAGGTTTAGTTCAATAGTTACTAGATCTTTCTTTAGGTTTCTAATTTAGTATTTTATTATATTATTAACTATTTTTATATTAATTTTTTGGATTTTTTAAATAACACAAAATGTTTATCAAAACCAAAATAAAAAAAACAAAAATAAAAGAATGGAAGAAGCTAACACAAAACGAAATATAAATAATGATATTTTACAATATGGTGATATGTTTAAAGATGCTATACCACTAACTACATCAGAAGTATTAGAAGAAGTATCTACAAAAGGAACAGGAAAATAGTTCGTTTCTTTTTATTTCATCCTTAAAAATATATTTAATTCTTAATACTTTAGTGCACGTGAAACAGAAGAATATTGTAAACAATTTAAAGATAATGGAAACCCAAAAGAACTTATTGAAAAATTAAAAAGTATGTCTCATTTATCATTACTTGAAATAGTTTCTTTATGTAATTTTAAACCAACATCTATTGATCAAGCAAAAATGTTGATAAAGTCATTAGACAATTATCCTGATTCTGATTTAAAAAATGTTATTGATATATTAGATAATGATAGTAAAGGAATAGATGAAGATGATTTAGACTAACTCTTTTTTTTCTTATATAAATTTAACAATTTTTTATTTATTTCTAATAAAAACTTTCAAATTAAGAATTGTATTTAAAGCAAAATTTCTTTTTTTATTAATTTCATTATTTTCAATGGTACATACTTTCTACAAATTTTAAAATATTAATAGTATTTAGAATATTTTTTACTTCGTTTGTTTTTATATTATTATTGTTGTGTTATTCTTTTCATTTTTAATTATTGGTTTATAAACCAAAGTCTTAATTACTTTAAAACAATACAAAATTTTTGAGTTAAATATATTATTTATTGATTATTTCTATTAAAAATTTTTTAATAATTTCACTAAGTTATTTTTAAATGATTTATTGGTATCTAAAACAGTTATTCTTGACTGTCAACACCAGATTTTTTTGTTTTTAGCTTAAAAAAAAAAGAAAGCTGAGAGAAAACTCTTGAGTCATTTAATTAAACAACATCCTCATCACGGTCGTCTTGTTCTGTTTTTACTACTTCATTTTCTGTAAAGAACTGACGGTGGAGTGAATGGAATGGAACAGCACTCATACAAATGTGACAAAATCCATTTTTAACTAATAAATCAGCAACAGTCATCATTTGAAGATAAACTGTACTGATTTCAACATCATTTGTTTCATCCCAATCACTAATTAAGACAACAAAAGCAGGATAAACATCATCAAAACCACGTAGAGCAGAAGAAACTTCTGAAACAACATCTTCTGGTTTATTGAAGATAACTCTTAATGATTTAGGGGCTAAAGTATGATAAGTAGATTCTGGTCTCATGTCAACATATAATGAAGAGGTATTATACATAGTAAATTGTAAATCACTTTGATCTAATAATGGTACAACTACCATTGAACTTTCATCAATTGCTTGATTTGCTAAAGTAGCGTAAGGAATAGATCTTGAAGGGTGTGAAGGAGAAATATGATTTTCAGTATAACTTATTGGAGAAGTTGAAATTAAATTGTTAAATTGAGAAGTACATTGTTCAATAACATCTGCTTGATCAAATTCAACTTTGTTAAAATGAAGGATAAGGTCAAATGGATCATTATATTCAAGGATCATTGGTTCACAAGATAAAATATATGCTAATAAGAAGAACATAAATTTAGCAAATTTAGGGGATTGAAGAACCCAATCCCATAACTGATAAATACTTGACAATTTCATTGATAAAGACAATAAAGGGAGGAACCACCTAATTGCAGTTGAATTTTCTATAACTCTAGAACTCATTGTTGGGGCAACCTTAGGGCCATGGAATGAAAGTAATTGACATAAACGAATGAAGTAAATTCTAAAATTTTCTGGAGAATACTGCCTTACAAAATCTGCTTCAAATCTATGTAAACATTCACTACATATTGCCTCATTAAAAGACAAAGAAAGGAAAACAGCACAAACACTATGAATACCTTGACAATACTCTTCTCCAGAACGTAAAAAGGAAAATAATACTCTCTTTAATTGACTACGAGTAACTTCATTAGCAATAATTGGAACAGTACTAAATGCTCTATTAACATCTTCTACAATAACTCTTGTATCTTCATCAATATCGTTTGAACTAATAATTAAAGGAACACTTTTTGATCGTTCGTTGTATCTTTTATAAGCCAAATTAACATCAATACCAAGGAATAACATCCAAACAGGTAGTCTTAAAAATTCAGGAACAAATGATTGTGCAACTCGTTCAACTTTATGAACAATAGTTCCAACTAAATTAGGATTCTCTGCTGCATATCGAGCTAAGAATCTAAAATAAGCATGATATAATCTATGATATCTAACTACATCTGTGACTGGACATGTACTAAATTGTTGAGTAAGTATATTAACAAAAAATGGAAGTTTTTCTGATGAAGAAGTATTTTCTATTTGATTTCCTTCTGATTTTACATAACCATCAAGTTCTTTATCAATGATAATTGAAGGGTTAATAATATCTTCAACAGAAATAGAATAGATTGTGAAATCGTTTTGAACTTCTTCTGCAGAAACATCTCTTTCAATAGAAACAAAACGTTCAAGATTGAAAATAGGATATTTAGCCATTTCTCCATATACTTTTCCCATAATTTCAATATACTTCTTTGGAATATCAGTATTTAATAATTTTAAATAACACATCTCATGTAATACTTCTCTTCTTGTCATAAAACATTTAGGTGCGTTATAACTAAAATTTAATAGCTCAAGAAGTTCTTTGTCTTGAGGTTGGATAATTGGCCTTCTTTTATTAAAAAGTTTATTTTCTAATAATGTAGATATTAGTGGTCTTATTGTTGGTATTGGACAAACACAAGATGTAAGAAATGGACTTAAATGAGTTTCTTTACAAAAATACAATTTATTTAATTCATCAACTCTATGTGTAAACTCTTCACAATTATGTTGTTGACAATTTATACATTCTTTGCAATGACTAGAAAGTTCAAACAATGCCATAACCCATGAAATATATTGTTTTTTTGATGGAATAAATTTCATATGAATAATAATATATAACATTCCCAAAGAATATATGTCACTTTCAACTGAACAAGAATGGTTTCTATTTAGTAATACTTCAGGTGCAATTGTTGGAAATTTAAATGCACAGGTAAAATATTTATTTGATTGAGACAAATGGTATAATGCATAATTACCTAATTTACCAATATTTGTCTTTGTATAATATATATTTGATGTATTGAGGTATCCAACAATAATGTCATGTTGATGAAGATAGTCATATGCTTCAATAATGTCTTGTAATAATCTAATACCTTTCTTTTCATCTAAAGTTGTTAAAATTTCAGGAAGTGTTTTTTCATATGTTTCACATAATAAATAAGTTTCATCTACTAATAAATATCTTAATTTTTTTTACTGAACTTTACTTAACTTACAAACTATGTTTTGCAGGAATAATATCAAGATAGTGTGATATACAATAATGAGAGAGTAGTCTTAATTTTTCAAATCTACCAACACAATTATATTGAGGGTATGTTGTTTCTTTTTGTTTTTTTGGTCTACAAGTGATTAATTGCAAACCAATAGTTGTCCCATCATTTAAAATGTCTTGATAAGAACAAGGGATATACTCTTTATATTCTTGCATGCTTGTTTTTAACTTTTCTTTTCGAGATGTTTTTTGAGTAAAAAAGATTAACAAAAACGAATAAATAAAAATAACAAATTATTACTTTGTTATTTAATAACAAAAATATTATTTAATATTTTTGAATCTAACAAAAAGAATATGATTGAATTATTTCAAGATTGGAATTTAAAGACATAATGGATGATTTAAGTTTCAGATTTGAATATTGTAAATCCAATAGAGGGTGTTGCTCTTCATGTAAAACTATGCTAGCTGAAGGTAAGTTGAAAGTTGGGATGGAGGTTGTTTCTTCGAGACATGATGGATTTGATATTGAATGGTATCATTTAGAGTGTGTACCTGCTCAGTTTAAAACAATAAAACTATCATCAACTAAGGGATGGGATGTGTTAAGATGGAAAGACATTCAAAGAATAAGACAATCCTGTATTGATGACCTTAAGTTTAAAGATGGAGAAGAAGAACAACTTAAAGAACTTAATACAAAGTATTGGGAATCTAAAAAAAAATTACAAAATGTGAAGCTAAGAGTTCAAAAAGAGTTATTAAAAGAGAATCACATTAACATAGATACCAAAGCTGATAGTCAGACTATTTTAAATGACTGTACAGAAATTCTTACTTTTGGGATTTTTGGAGCTTGTCCACAATGTCATCAGAAAACTTTAAAAAGTAGTCTGATTAGAGTTGTATGCCATGGTAACATCAATGATTTTACTAAATGTACTTATGTATCAAGTGACATGAAAACCGTACCAAGATATAGAGTTGAGGTTAGTGAAAAATTAAAGAATGCTGATAAAAGTAACGTGTTAAAAAACTGGGAATTTCCTGATAATTATCCTAGTGAAACTATTCCACAAGAAGATATAAATGAAAACCAAAAAGAAGAAGGGTTTGATGAAGAGGATGAACTTCCAGAGAAAATGGAGTTATATGGAATGTATATTTACATACAAGGAAATAAAACCCATTTAAATAAAAGTATAAAAGATATTCAAAAGATTATTAAAGAGCATAGTGGTAATGTGTGCAAAAGTATTGTTGAAGCTTCTGTTTGTTTATCAAGCAATCAAGATATAGAAGAAGCCAAAACCAGTGGAATTAGAGATGCAAAAGAGATGTTAACTTGTCTTGATATTTCATGGTTAAATGAAATCATTAGTCATAAAAAAGATTTTATGACATTAAGAAGTAAAAAAGGAGTTGAAAAATATTTATGCGAAGGAACAAGTTATAAGACACCTATTGTCAAAGAGAAGTATTACAAACCTAAAGAAGTAAAACGAGAAACATTTAAACCAGTAGACGATTCTGATGCTATGAAAGTTACACAAGAGAATTGGTTAGGAATAGGGACTAGCGTATATGTTGTTGATGACCCAATATTTGGATGGACTGTGTATAATGTGATGCTAACAAAAACTGATTTAAGTACAGGAATAAATTCTATATATCACATGCAAATAGTTAGAAATAAAAAAAAATTTAAAATGATGTTTGAATGGGGAAGAATTGGTGACAAATTAAAAAGAACATATAGAGAAAGTAAAAAGCCTAAAGAATTAATTAAAGAATGGGAAGAAAAGTTTTTTCAAATGACTGGAACTGAATGGAATAGAAGACATGAATATAAAAAAGTTCATGACAAATATTTTTGGCAAGCATTTGATACAGGCAAAGATGCTTATATGGCTAGACATACAATGACTGAAGAAGAAAAACAAAGATTAAAAAAGAAAGCTGATATTATTCTTTCAAAAACAAAAGAACACCAAATTGATAATAAAGTGAGTGATTTAATTCAAATGATATTTGATAAAGATATGATGATTAATGACCTTAAAAATTCAGGGATAAATATTCATGAACTTCCTATTGAAAAAATAAATATAAGTCAAATGAAAGAAGCATTAAGATTATTAAATGAATTATCTAATGTTATTTCTTCAGAGAAAGAAGAAAACATATCTGAAAATGAGTTTAATAAGAACAAACAAATATCAATTAGAGATTTAACTACAAGGTATTATTATATGATTCCTCATATTTTTGATCGTGGAAATATTATATTAATTGACAATGCTGAAAAAGTGAAAAAAGAAATTGAACTAGTTGAAACAATGTGTGATATTGCAGAAGCAATTCAATTAATGAGTGATGATGAATTACTTGGATTTGATGAAGAAACAGAATTATTCTCACATTATGATAGTTTACAAACAAAAATTATTGCTTTAGATAAGAACTCAGAGAGGTATAAATTAATAAATGAAATGTTTAATAACAACCAAGAAATATCAGATTGGCGTTCACCAAAGTCTGTTGAAGAGATCTTTGAGATAGATAGAAATGGAGAAAAAGAACGATTTGAACCATATGTGAATGACATAAACAAACAACTATTATATCATGGAAGTAGATTAGCAAATTTTGTTAGTATTTTATCAACAGGATTAAAAATTGCACCACCAGAAGCTCCAAGTAATGGGTATAGATTTGGTAAGGGTATTTATTTTGCTAATTGTGCAAGTAAATCACTAAGTTATTGCACTACTAATGACGAAGGTAAAGGGTGTATTTTATTATGTGAAGTTGCTCTTGGAAGACAATGGGAAACTCAAGAAGATAAGTACATGGAAAAACCACAACCAGGAACAGACTCTACTTATTTTGTTGGACAAATAGAACCAGATTCAAAAGAAACTATTAAACTAGAAAATGAAGTAAAAGTTGCAAAAGGAAAATTAAAACCAAAAGTAAGTTCAACATTTGGATCACATTCTGAGTTAATAGTTTATAATGAAGCAAGAGTACGGATCAAGTATTTAATTAAATTTAAAAATTAAGTTGAAAGTTCTTTAGAAAATTCTAAAAGTTAAGGGTTTCTATTATTAGATTTATAAAAACTAAAAAAGACATTATTGTTATTATTCTTATGCTAAATCAAGTTTTTCTTTTTATTTCTTGTTGTTTAGTTGGACATTGTCTTGCACAAACTAAATATATTTGTCAGGTTAAACAAAATGATCTTGTTAATATGTTTTTTGAAGCAGAGGATGAAAGTTGTTACTATAAAAAAGAAGGGAATAAAATGTATTATATTCAACTTATGAAAAACGATAAAGGAGAAATGAAAGCGTATCAAATTGAACAAACGAATTCAAATTATTGTACTGATATTATTAATAGTGATGAATATTTATTAGACCCTTTTATTCAATGTGAAAAATCAGGATCAATTCCTAATTATGATGTAAAGGATTTTATTAGTGTTGATGACTCTTGTTCAGATGCTTCTCCAGTTTATTTGACATTTTATTATTTAGTCAATATATTAATAAATGGTAAAATATACAAAAAGACTTCTAATCAATTTGTAAAAATTTTTATTGATTCTAATGGAATTGCTTCAGAAATAGAATCTTTTGAATTTAAATGTTATTCAGATATTGAAAGTAGGTATTATCATAGTGTTTCAAATAAAGAAAATGTAGAAGAATATTATTATATCATTGCTAAGTCAAAAACAAATGAAATTCAAAGAGTTGGGCATTCTACTAATGGAGTGTGTTATCAACAAGGAGATAAATATATTAATTTTGAAAGTTCATATTCATTAGAAGATGGAAAATTTAAAGATATTGTGAGTCAATGTGAACATAGTGTAAGTGATTGTAGTGATTCTTGTTCAAATAGAATTGATTATGAAAGAACGAACCCAAACACTTATCAATCACCAGAAACAAAAATTATTTATCAATCAAGTTCTAAAAGTGAAAGTGGTAAAATAGTAGAATATATTTATGAAAATGTATGTGCTGACTCTACAATATATAGAACTGAAGTTAGTGGATTAACTAAAATAACATTTACTGATTCATTGTGTAATTCTGAAAGAACAATGACTGTTTATAGTAAATGTTATTCTACAATGGGAGATAATTATATTGTTTGTTCACCAAATTGGGCTTATGTTGGAGATGAATCTAAGTATACAGCATATTCAATAAATAAATGTAGTTTAATCAATAACAACCTTTATGGAAAGGTTGTTTCTGAATCAAATAAATGGTATCTTAAAACTGGTCCTACAATTTCTTCATGTGAAGTATCTTCTTCTGAAGTAAAAGTATTACCTAACAAACCATTGAGTGATGTTATTTCTACAGAGATATTATGTATTTCTAAAGAATTATGTAATAAAGATAGTGATGGATTAAAAACATATTATACTAGTACAATTGATGAGTCTACTAAATACTCTATTGAAAATGGATATTTAGTTAACAACGACCATAGTTTATCTTATCAATGCCATTCTATTATTACTAAAGAATCAACAGTATTTTATATACAGTGTGATGAAAAAGATTCATTTGTTCACTTCTATTATTTAGAAAACGTTTTGTCTTATATTGAGTACACAGCTGGTACTTGTTATAAAACATCTACTATGACATCAGTTCAAATAATTAAAAAAGTTGAAGGGGCAGTAAAACAAGTGAGTTATACTCTTCATGAATTTGGAAATACAAGATGTCAATCTATTCCAATATTTAATAGTTCATTAGAGGTTAATCAAATTAATACTCAACAACCAAAAGGTAATGTAAAAGCAATTTCATTTGATGTAGAACAAGACCAATCAAGTTGTGTTAGTAGTTATGAACCTGAGGTATATACACAATATATAGTAGGAGAATGTATTGAAAAACAAAAATACTCTAAAGAAAATAACAAATTAGTATTAAAGAAATATTCAGATAATGAATGTGAAATTGAATTATCTACACTTTCTTCAAAAGACTGTAATAAATGTTCAAAAGGAGAAACAAACATTTATGTTAATTGTTGTGTAGATGCTTTCCCAGACGATTGTCCAAATGAATCAAATTCAACTAAATATAAAGGAATTATTATAATACCTTTTATTTTACTTCTATTAATGATTTAAAGTAAAATGTTCAAAGAAAAATAGTAAAATTAAATTAAAAATTAATTTAGATATATTTCTTTCTTCTTTTTTTAAAAGAAAGTTCTATTGATTAAAAGCTTGATACAAACAAAGATCATTTCGAGGTATAGTTACAATAGATGTTGATTCAACTAACTTACATAAATAAGAATTGACGTTACAACCACGTATCGTTAAATCTTCTTTACCCATAATAAATTTATTTTTGTAGAAGATATGAATTATTCTTTCAAGTTGGAATCCACGTTTAGAACGTTTTGACATTTTTGAGTCAAAGAAATATCCTTTTTCTATTAAAATATCAATCAATAAATTATGAATGAAGATTCGTTTATTTTTTTCTAATCTCCTAGTAGTTGTTTGTTTATTTTTTCCCTCAAAATGATAGTCATCAAAATTTTGACGACAATGTTGTTCTGCTAATGAAGAAATATCAACCTCCTCTTTCTCAAAAATTAAGGCTTTAATATTTGGTAATGACATGGTAACTGTTGGTTGTCTTCTTCTTTTTTCTAAGGTAATTGCACAAAACTGATTTAAATAACATAACAACACTGCTTGTTGAAATGCCTCATAAGATTTATTTTCTCTTTTCTTTTCAATATATTTTGGATGACTCCAATGAATTTTTTTTTTACCATTATCAAAATATGTAAATTCTTGTTCTTTTGGACTATACCGTCCAATAACTTCATCAATAGGAGAAGGGAATGACTGCATGATTTAAAATACTGAGTTCTTGTCATTTAGTTTAGTCTTCCATTTTTTTGAACCTTTGTTCAAAAATAGAAAATTCTGTTCCTATCTTCTTCTTTCTTTTTCCTCATTATTCTTAGGATAATTAATTCTTATTTTAAAGTTGTTTTCTCTGAGATTTCATTTAATCTAATATATTTTATTTCAATAGAAAAATCCCGAAAAACTACTACACTTCCCTTAACAAAATATCATTTACTAAATTATTTTTAAAAAATTGCTATTTTTAGTAGCGGAAGTCACCTAAAAATAAAAAGCTGAGTAAAACCAGAAAAATTACTAAACCCTAAATCTATTTTTAATTCGTTCCAAAAATACTTTATTAAATATTATCATTTCTTTATTTTAGGGGTAGAAGATTACAGTTATTTTTTTATTATTTATTTAGTCGGTTATTAAATTCACATTCAATTTGGTGGAAATATAAAAAAGTAATACAATACCCCTTTAAAAGGAAGGAAAAAATCTAAGAATTAACCAAATGTTATTTACAATTAACAGATTTTGAGATTAAAACTTTTCAATCTTAAAAAAAACGAAAAATATGGTAATGAGTCGAAAGAATACAGTGACACTTAGTATAGAAGAAATGATTGTTGTTGTCTCATATTTCAAAAATACTTACCTTTCTAAACAAGTGATATTTATTAGTCGAAAATATAAACATTTCTTTGAGTATTTTAAAATAAATCCTAATGATAATATTTTATATTTTCCACGATACACTTCACAACAATTATTTTCAATTAATTCTTTAAGAAAAGAAGGTATGGTTCAATGCATACAGAAGTGTAAAGTAACACTTGACCAATATTTTTTGTTAAAGAAAAATAATAATTGTTATGATGAAATTAACACTGTTTATTTAACAAAAACTGATATGAAAAATAAAATTTATCTCCAACAATTTCAATCTTCTTTACATTTTGTTATTGATAAAAATTCTGGGAGTGAATTATCTCAAAAATGTATTAACCTTTGTAATTCTATTGTTGGTATTGATGATTATGCATTTGCTTCTAGTCAAATTAATAAAATTATTATTCCTAATACAACTCGATTTATTGGTAATGCTGCTTTTATTGATTGTACTTCTCTAACATCAATCCATCTTTCAAATACTTTAAAAATTATTCCAGATATGTGTTTTTATAATTGTTGTTCTTTAAAAATAATTCAACTTCCATTATCATTAATAGCCATTGGATCAAATGCTTTTTATAATTGTATTAAACTAGAAAATATATTAGGTGAAATACCTTACCTTATTGAAATTGGATCAAATGCTTTTTATAACTGTCGTTTATTATCTTATATTTCTATTTCTACTTCTTCATCTTTAAAACAATTACCTCAAAATTTATTCACCGATTGTAATTCACTATCATCACTTATTATTCCAAATTCAGTTTCTTTTATCTCAAATAACGCCTTTGAAAGCTGTGGTATTATTTCTTTAATTTTACCATCTTTGTTAAGTTCTATTCAACCTTATACTTTCTCAAATTGTTCTTCATTAGAAAAAATAGTACTTCCTTCTTTAATTACATCAATTGGTGATTTTGCTTTCAATAATTGTATTAAACTAAATACTATTAATCTACCTTCATCTATTAATACACTAGGAATAGGTACATTTTTTCATTGTATTTCATTAACTTCTTTACAATTACCAAAAACAATCACTTCAATAGGAAAGTTATGTTTTTGTGGATGTTGTTTATTAACTTCTATATCTATTCCTTCTTCAATATCAAAAATAAAATCTTCTACATTTCTTAATTGTGAATATATCATGCAAATAAATTTATCTTCTTTTTCTATTAAAAAAATTGGCTCTCATTGTTTTGAAAATTGTAGTGCATTACGGTCATTCTTTATTCCACTAACTATTATTTCATTAAATAATAATGTTTTTTCAGGATGCACTTCATTAACATATGTTAATATTCCTTCAAGTGTTTTAAGTTTACCTAATCATTTATTTGAAAATTGTTATCATTTAAAAAAAATTGAAATACCAACAGGTATTACTTCAATTGGTACACATTGTTTTTTTGGCTGTGCACACCTCATATCATTTCAAATACCATTACTTGTTCATCAATTAACTGATTATACTTTTTATGGTTGTAGTTCTTTAAAATCTATTATAATACCTACTTCAATCACTTCAATAGGTATGTATTGTTTTAGTAATTGTACTTCTCTTAGTTCAATAACAATTCCTTCTTCAATCAATAAACTCTCATCAAATTGTTTTTCTAATTGTTCTTCATTAACTTCTGTTTCACTTGCTCCAACAATCACATCGTTTAGTATTGACTGCTTTAAACAATGCACTAATCTTAAATCTATAATTCTTCCTTCAAAATTAAAAGAAATTCCTGATGGATGTTTTGCTGGGTGTTCTTCTCTTACAACAGTTAAAATCCCAAAAGGAGTATCGTATCATGACAATGTATTTGAAGGGTGTTTGAAAATGAAGAAAAAACGATAACCATCGATTGATTTTAATCTATCTTTACTTATAATTAAATATTTTTTTAATAGTTAAACTCATCATCACTGTAACACTGTTGTAAGAACTGAACCGCTTTTTCACTTCCTAATACCTTAGCTTTTCTCCAGAACATACATGCAAGATTTACATCTTTCTTTACTCCAACTCCTTTCATGAAACATACTCCAACTGTTACAATTGCATCAACATAACTTGATTTGCATAAATTCAATAATATTTTAATTGCATAATTAACATCTTGGTTCTTTAACGAATGAATAGCTAATGCGTATAACGCTCGTTTATCTTCCATAAGACATGCTTTATGAATTAGCTTTAATCCTTCTCTTTGATTATTAGCATAAATAAATCTTCCATACCATGACTCAGCAACCCAATACCCAGCATCAACTGCTTCTTTAATCAATGATACTGCTTCTTCTCTATTTTCGTGTTTGATCATCTTTACACACCCAACATGAAATTTAGCAAATTCATTACCTAGTTTCATAGATAATTTATACATTTCAGCTGACTTAATAGAGTTTTCATATACTCCCATTCCTTTTCTATAACACATCCCAAGATGAAATGTTGCAACAGATGAATTTCTCTGAGCCAATAAAATTTTTGTTGCAACTTCATAATTATCTTTTAACTTTACACCAAAATGTCCATATAACAATCCAATTGCTAAATTTACGTCTGAGTGTGTTTTTGAACATCTTGACAATGCGTAATTCTTTGCAGCCTCATGTAAATTTTTTTGTAACCCTATTCCAGTATATTGCATAAAAGCAACATTAAACCTTGAATAGGGTAGACTTATACTATTTTGAAATAATATAGCAGCAATACGAAGGTTCTGTGGTATATGTTTAGGAATCCCCTTTAAGGTTACTACACCTAAGTTATATGTTGCATATTTATCATTATATTTATATCCTTCAAGTAATAAGTTAATAGCTTTACCAGGATCGCTTTGAATTAATGCAACACCTAAGTTATTACATGCAGCAACAATATTGTTTGTTATAGCAAACTTCCAATTAGTGATGGCTTTTTTAACATCACCTTCAATCATTTGTAGTACAGCAAGATTGTTACAAGCCATAATACATCCTTTATTCATTGCCTCCGAATATTTTTCTTTTGCAACGTATTTATCTTGAATACATCCTATTCCTCTTTCTTTCATTAAACCAATGTTGTTAATTGAATTTACATCTCCATAGCGGGCTCCATATTTAAAGAATTTGTATGCTAATTTCTCGTTTTTTTCTACTAGAATGCCTTGAAAATAACATGAAGCTAATTTAAAAAATGTTTCCGGACGAGTTTTATCTGTTACTAAGATCTTCTTACGTTCCTCTTCAGTTTGTTGTTGTGGAGAATAAAGAATCATAGGACTTTCATAAAGGAAGTTAGACATTATAGGTTCTATCCAATAACTAAATTTATTAATAAGTTTCCATGAATCGGCATCTTCTTTTTCTCTAGGATTTCTATAAAGATTTAATTTTTCTAAAATGTGGATTTGGAAAGAAGGGGAATAATGGCTGTCTTCGTTATTTTCTTCAATTCTTGGTTCAGCCTCTTTATTTAGTTGTTCTTCTACGTCAGCATAACCACTTGTTTTAAAGTCTAACTCTTGTTCAGGGTCATCAATAATTTTTTTTATTTTATTACTCTTTGCTTCGTCCATAATTATTACATGTTTACGAGGTACTTTCTTTGCATAATTCATGAAATATGATAAGTAAACTACTAAGGAAAATTGTTCCTGTAAATTACACATATCCTCTGCAGTTATTAAGGGTGGAACACCAAATGTATTCTCTGCATATTCAAGACAATGTTGTATCAATTTTACTGAAGTTAAATTATTAAGATTAGGAAATGGGTTGTTTGTTTCTGGTTGGAGTCCAGCAAGAAATTGATTAAAAATTATTCCATCTACCCAGGACAAACTAAGATCTATCACTTCTTTTCCTGTAACACCTTGCACCATATCAAGTATTTTATCTATAGCCTCTTGAATTGAAGAACATTTTAGTTGATATTTTAAAAACATTTTTATAAGTAATGGAGTAACAGCTTCTGGTACTCCTAAAGTAAATCTTTCTGCTGAAATTTTATTAGCCCCATCATAGACAATGTTAATAATTTGTTGGTTATTGTTTATTTTATCTGCAGGTGTTTGTGGTAATTTTATTGGTTTAGAGGTAATATTATTAAGTTTATTAAATAAAATGGTTAATAAGACACCGTCTCTGAATGAAGAATAACTAACCTTTTTTTCGTCACATAACTTTAGTGTATAGTTAAGCCAATTAGTAAGAATACAGATATGTGGATCTTCCATTCAATTTATGACAATTAAAAAGTTTTTATTTTCTTTATGATTTTTATTTCTTTTTATCTTATTTTGTGTTATCAATTAGTAATTTTTTTGGTGGTTTTTATTAATTTTCTTTATTATTCTTATTCTATTTATTCCTTTTTCCTGTTTACTCTTTTCATTCACACTATTTTTTTACTCTACATAAATAATATTTCTGTTATATATAACGAATTATAATTAAAAATAAAAACCTTATTTTTATGTTTGTTTATTTCCTTCTTTTTTAACATCAATGTTTCAAATTGTTATATTATTAATAAAATTAATATCGTAGTTTTGTTGATTGTTATTGGCAAATATGATAGGTTATTGGTTCTTGAATGTTTTAAATTTATTCTTCTTCAGAACCTTTTGAGAATATTGCCATAATATCATTTAAGAACTAATAGATTTAAAAGAAAAAGTATGTACCTCACTTGTTAATGATAACCAAGTTTACAAAACTTGACTTATCATTAGAAAAAAATAATTATTTTAATCTGAATTAAAACGAATTATTTTTTATTTATAAAAATTTCTATAAGAGTTTATACGGACTTTATTGTGGTACATCTCTTTTTTATTTTTTTGTAATTACTTTAATTGGTATTAACAAGAAGAGCTACTAAATAACTTGTGACAGTATCACGACTCATACTAACTATTAAATAAATATTTAGAGAGACTAAATTTTTGTTAAAAAAAATTTAACTAGTATTTAAAATATTTCTTATTTCATTCAACGAAGTAGTACCAAAACCAATAACTTTAAAGGCAATAGCGTTTGGTAAAACATTAAATGGGGTTAATTTATCAAGTTTAAACTATTTTCAATGAAAGAAACTTTACTTTCACAAACATTTGCAAAGAAAGAATAAAACAATTTCTATAAAAAAATAACAAATAAACTATAATAAAAATAGTTTCTAATTTAAAAATAAATTTTCAAATAAGAATGTAAAAAGGAAGTAACCGCTACTCTTATATTTTTTAACAATAATTATTTTTAATGAAAAATTCAAAAATATGATTTAAATTTATATTTTTATCTCTTTCTTCTTCGAGAACTTTTTAGTTCAATCTTTATGCAAACACACCAATTCATTTCAGTAAAAGTTGAGAATGTTGGTTACAATCACAATATTCGCGTAACAAGACATTACAGCTCTCCTGAATCTCTATTAAAAGAAATTAACCAAAACTTCCAATTCTCTTTTGATAATATAACTGAAATTACTCCATTCAAAGACACACCTAATAGTTCACCAAATCCTCAAACCGACTATTATCCCTCTCCGACAAACTCTTCACTTTAAGTTGTACTTTTTAATTTATTAATTCTCGTTGTATTGGATTTTATTTTTTTTTTAAAAAAAAAACAACAAAAAAATATATAAAAATATTTTTTGTTATTTTTAAAATTCATTTAGAAATTCAATACAATATCAGGAAATTCTAAATTTTCTGGAAGTTGTTCCTTTTCACTTGAAACTGATATAGCAAGTGTCATTGTGTTGTTTTTATATTCTTCATGTTTCATCTCTTTATAAATTTCTTTAAATGTTTGTTTACTTCGTTTAATTCCACTAGGAAGATATGAACAATAGAACAATGCACCACATGCAGTAATTGAATCAACTTCAAGTGGATATCTCTTTGAAATTTCTTGACAGAATTGTTCTATAGTACAGTTTCCATCAAACTCTAATTTATCCCAAATAGATACTTCTAACCCTTCACAAATTTTTGTCTTTTTAACTGCTTCTGGTTCAGTAGCATCCATATATCCTATTGCTAAATTTAAGAATGAACAATGATATGCTTCTAATGGTTTCTTTTCAATAACTTTAATTAATTCAATGCATTGTAATCCAGATACTACAGCTGTAGTAGTAATCATTGCTGGTATAATTTTTCCTGCTATTAATTTTGTTTTTAAGAAATCCGCTGGTTTAATACAATAATTTTCTGCTCTTAAATTACTACATGCTGTTATAAATTGAATATGATGATTATTGTCATCGTCTTTTTCAAATTCTATTGGATTAACTTTTGGAATTTCTTTTCCTTTTATTTTTTCACTAAGTTCTTTAATTTCTGTTTCTGGATCTTCTGTTTTCTTTTCTTCACTTGTATATGTTTTTAAGGAATATGCATATTTAATAATTTCTTCATTACTTATTTCTTTTTTAATTCCATATATCTCTGCTCGAAGGACTGATGCTGAAATAATAAATTCTTTTGCATATTGATTATCAATATTAAATGGATAAATATGTGGGAATCTTTTTGGTGCATGCCAAAATGGTATTCCTTCATCAGTAATTGTATTTTCTGGGAAATTTGTAATGAGTTTTTGAATAGTGTTAACAAAGTTAATATCATATTTCTCTCTTGCCCATTCAATACAATCTTTAAAATTATGTGGAACTTTACTAATTCCATTTTCTACAATCAACTTTAAATTTTCTAATAAAACTAATGGACTTTCTTTCTTTAATGTTTCTAAATAACTTTCTCCTTGTTCTTTATAATTTTTGATTGGTTCAATTTCTGTTTTAAAGAATCCTTCAAATCTATCTCTTGCCCATTGAATTGTATGGTCAATTTCATTAGGGAAATTATGAAGTGTACACATTGGAATACTTTTTTCTTCTGGATCTCTTACTGATCCTGTAGAATATGATTGTGTTATGTGTGGAATAATACTTTGTGTATTTCCTTTAGTTCCTGTTGTTCCTCCTTCAATCATAGCAAGTCCATATTTGACACATTGTGCATCACAATACATTCTAGCTTGTACATTATCTAATGCTGTAGTAACACTACTTAATGATTTGAAGAATTTCTTAGTAAAAATATTTTCTGTGGCTTCTCCAACTCTAAGTTGATAATCTTTGATATGAATTTCTGGATTCATTATTTTAACTGCTTCACTTGCAACTTTAGATTTTGGTTGATTAATGTTATTATTTCTGAATAAGAATTGTCTTGATAAATTAGACTTTTCAATATTATCATTATCTGTAATATGAATTAATCCTTTTCCACTACTCAACCCCATCATTGCCCATGTCTTTAATACTTCACATCCAATAGCTCCTGATCCGACAAGGAAAGTTGTTAAATCTTCTATCTGTTGTTGAACACTTTTCCCTATGATATCAATTTGTCCTGAATATCTTCCATTATCAATAAATTCTTCTTTTGGTAATTCTAAATATTTATCTGGAAGAATTTCAAGACAATCATAAAACATATATTGACAATATGGTGTGTATTTTCCTGATGCTGCTTTTAATACTTCTTGTGCTGCAATTCCTCCAAATGCTGTATCTAATGGTGAGAAAAATCCATTGTTACAATAACAGAAAATCTTAATGATATTTTCATCCAATTCAACCTTAAGTTCATCAACAATACTTTTAAATTTCTTATAATCATCTTCATCATGACTTTTTGGACTCATTCCATATTTATCCATAAATATCATTAATCCATGATATAATCCTTGGTAACCTCTTAATCTTTCCATTTTAGACATATTAGTAAATGTAATTTCTCCTGGTTCATTTAATCTTTCTTTTAATGCTTTATAATGTAATGTAACAGTTGGTTTAACTTCAGTAACTTTTCCTCCTTTAATATATTTACCATATTGATTTAAATCTCCAACTTCAATTGAATATGCTGTTCTTTTAGTAATTTTAAATGTTTTTCCTCCATTTTCTGAATAATTAAGTCCAGGTAATCCAATAAATTCATCAAGTTGAACTTCATTTCCAACATCTAATGTACAGAAATTTTCATCAATAAATTGAATAGTATTTCCAACAACTTCATTAACAATATAAGTTAATGGTGTTTCTCCATTTGAATCAAAAACAACAAAATTATCTCCAAAATCATTAAAAATCATTGTAAATGGTCCTCTATTAACTGCATAAACCATTTTAACATTATGCTTTCTACATAATTCATTAATCTGAATAGATTGTTTTTCAGAAAGTAAATAACAAAGAACAATAATATCATAATCATTATATAATGATTCATCTGTTAATTCTCGTTTTTCTACTCTAACAGGAACACTATTATTTAATTCTTGGAATTGTTTGTATGTTGATTCACTAATACAATGTCCAATATGTTCTTTTCTTAAAAAGAAATTTGTTCCTAAATCAGCTAAACATGCATTTCTATTATCTAATAACCCAACTGATTTAACAGACATTAATAACACATTCTTTGTAATTTCAGCACCCATTCCATTTAATCCTGCAATCAATACTTTTGTATTCATCATTTTAATTTGAGCATCTTTTCCAATAGTAAATAGTTGTCTTGATAATACAGCTTCATCAATTTGTTGTGTCATTTCTATTTATTTAGTTGTTTTATCTTCTTTTTAAATATTCTATTTTTCTCTCTTTCTATTTTTGGAATGACGTTTTTGTTTTTTGATTCATTAATTTTCATTAAATAGTTTTTTATTATTAAAAAGTAAATTATCAAAATTCACTTAATCCTCAGAACTTAAAATTAAAAGAAAATGTTATTAAAAACAATGTTATATATAACATAATAAAAAAAGAAAAATAATAAAAAGAAAATAGGAAAAAAATAAGAGAAAAAAGAACCCTAAACTATAAAAAGGAAGAACCAGAATAAAAAGATAACCGGAATGGACGCCAAGCAACAACGTGGTGAAAAAAGACAATTCGGAAATAGAAGAGGAGGAAGAGGAGCACCAAGAGGAAGAGGAGCTAGAAAAGATGGAGCTTCAGATGGATGGACACCAGTCACCAAGCTTGGAAGATTAGTTAAAGACGGAAAAGTAAAGAGTATTGATCAAATCTTTGAATTTGGTATTAAAATTAAAGAATATCAAATTGTTGATCATCTTCTTCCAGGTCTTAAAGAAGAAGTTATGACTATGCAATCAGTCCAAAAACAAACTTCAGCCGGTCAAAGAACCAGATTAAAGGCATATGTTGCTATTGGAGATCACAATGGTCATGTTGGACTTGGAGTTAAATGTGCTAAAGAAGTTGCTGAAGCCATTAAAGGAGCTATGATCCAAGCTAAATTAGCTATGGTTCCAGTTAGAAGAGGATATTGGGGAGCTACTATTGGAGAAGTTCACACAGTCCCATGTAAACTTACTGGTGCATGTGGTTCAGTCCGTGTCAGACTTGTTCCAGCCCCAAGAGGAACTGGTATTGTTGCAGCACCAACACCAAAGAAATTCTTAATTCTTGCAGGTATTGAAGATGTTTTCACTCAAACTACTGGACACACCAAGACTCTTGGTAACTTTGTTAAAGCTACTTATGATGCTGTCAGACAATCATATGGATTCCAAACAAAAGATTTATGGAAAACTGGAGGAATTAAACAATCACCAATGGATAAGTATGCTAAAATTCTTGCTGAATCCAAGAAGAATTAAATTTTAATCCTTTTTGTTCTATTTTTTTATTTTTCATTATTGTTAAACAGTATTTTTCATTAATATTTTGTTTTATTTATAAATTTTTGTTTTTTTTTTAATGAATTGTTTACAACCTTATTCACATTTATAACCATAATGGAGTTATAAAATGTCATTTTTGTACTTATTTTGTTTAAGTCTTTAATTAGTAATGGTTGAGTTTGGAATGAATACATTTTCATTAACATTACCAATTTGTGATGTTAATTCAATTGTTTGAAATTTCTTTTTAAATTTGGTACAATAACACTAGGGCGATTGATTCTTTATTTTTGTCATATTGTGTTGTTACTTTTCATAACATTACTTCTTGAATTTATTGGTTATGTGATGAAATTAATTCAACATTCAAAACAAAACTTTTCAAAGAAAAACGAATAAATTATCATTCAAAGTTTCAAAAATTGTGGTTTGAGAATACTTCTATCTTCTTTCATTAAACTTTCCATTGGTCTCCAGAACTGAATATCTCTTCCATCACCAGATGTACCAATAACATATGGTATTTCTGGATTCCATAAAGCATCAAATACTTCATTTAAATGTCCAGAATGTCCAAATAAAAATTCTGATCCACCATCATCAGCATCATTCGATGTTTGGTCTTCTCCTACTTTACTCATATCATAGATTCGTACTATATGATCTTTAGATGCAGTACAAACAAACCCTTTATTAATTGAACTGAGACAACAACAATTAATTCCATCTTGTGGACCAAACAGATGACAAAGTTCTTGATTTGGTTTTCTCAGATCCCAAAATCTAACAAAACCATCAATTCCCCCTCCAGTAATAAACAGTGTTGAATAATTTGGATCAAATGAACATGCATTAGCATCTCCTTCATGTGTTTCTTTAAACTCTATTTCAGTCTTTAATGTACGATAATCAGTAATTAATGCTCTTCCATCCTCTCCAACAGATAACATGATTTCACTTTGATTATTCCAACATACATCGTTTATAGAATCATGCACATTTTTTATTGAAATTCCTTCTGATACTTCTGTGTTAAATATATGAAGATTGCCTTCTTCACATACTGTAAATGTTCCTAAAAGAAGATTTGACCAACAAATACCAAACCCACCTCCAGGAGTACGTTTACATGGTTGTGGGTCAGTTTCATTAAAATTATATATATAACAATTCCCATCAGAAGATGTTGTCACACAAATGTTTTTGTCTTGTGGCATTGTTCTTATTCTTCTTACATCTCCTGAATGTGAAACTAATGCAATTTCATCAATACGATCACTACAATTAAACTCACCAACCATCCCATCTACAAACGGAGATGGTTTGACTATTCCTAATGGAATAGAGGTAAAAGCTTTAATTACAAAAGCATTTTCTCCATTCGTTCCATAAACAAATTCTTGTTTGGCAATATCATTATTTCTCTCTACAATATTTCCCCAATCAAATGTAGTGCTATATGGAAATGATGTTTCATAAGTAGTTAAAAATGAATAGAGATAAATAGCATTAGATTTCCAAGTTTCATATTCACGAGCAATTTTAGCAGCTTTTTGTTGAATATTAACATCCTCTTCTTCCATTTCGTTATTATCAATATCTTCTTCCATTAATTCTTTCATTTCTCTTTTTTCTTCTTTTTCTTCAACAAGTTGTTTTACATGTTTTTCAGTGTCATTTGCAACTTCTTCTATTATTTGTTGAAAACTCTTTGAAGTGTTTGGTTGATGTGTTTCAATTGAATATCCATTTGTATTAATTTTAGAATCATTACCAAGATTTACTGGTTGTAGTCGTTTTCTCTTTGCAGTACTAGTGTCATCCATTCAGAGTAAAGGTGAGTTAATTAATGAGATGATTTTTGAAGGAATGAATAATCATTTTAAAGTGATGTGAGAGTAATTGAAGAAGTCATAAGAATAAGACTGGAAAATTGAGGAAAAATGGGTAAAATTTTAATTAGATAAAATTGATTAGAATAATGGATAAAAACAGGAAGAAAAGAGTATTAAGGAAGAACAGACCGAATTGAGAAATAGTAAAAAGTATAAAAAAAAGAATAATAAGAACCCTAGTATAAGGAACTATAAAACCTAAAAACTAAAGTAAGTAGAACTCGGATCGATGGGAGCTTATAAATACATCAACGCCCTTAATAGAAAGAAACAAAGTGATGTCTTAAGATTCCTTAGACGTATTAGATGCTGGGAATTAAGACATCTCCCAAGAATTCACCGTGTTGCACGACCAACTAACCCAGAAAGAGCTAGAAGATTAGGATATAAACCAAAAGACGGATTTGTCATTTACTCAGTTAGAATTCATAGAGGAAACAGAAAGGTTAGTGCCAGAAAAGGTATTGTTCACAGAAAGCCAGCTTGCCAAGGTATTCATAAGATTAAGAGAGTCAAATCACTTCAAGCCATTGCAGAACAAAGAGTTGGAAAACACTGTGGAGCTCTTAGAGTTCTCAATTCATACTTCATTGGACAAGACTCAACTTACAGATTCTTTGAAGTCATTCTTGTTGATCCATTTAACGCTGCCATTAGAAACGATCCAAAGATGAATTGGATTTGTGCTGATAAACAAAAGAGAAGAGAAGCTAGAGGACTTACTTCAGCTGCTAAGAAATCAAGAGGATTCACTGGTAAAGGAAGAAGATATAACAAGATTGGTGCTGGTGCTCGTGGTAATTTGAAGAGAAGAAACCTTCTTCAACTTAAGAGATACAGATCTTAATTCAATTGATTATGATATTAATACATTTTTATATGTTTTTAAGAGGAGAAAATTAAGTTGACTTTATTTAAAAATCCCTTTTTGTTCAGATTGGTTATTTTATTTGTTTTTAATAGTGATTTATTAATTTAGAGATTTATAAAAAATACTTATGAAACAGAAACAGGTGTATGAGTTGGGTTAATATTATTTTTCGAATTAGGTAGAAAGAGTGTGGTTGCTTTAGCAGTAACCTTTGCTTTTTTGGTTTTAGTATTATCTCTCTTCAATAATGCTATTCATACAAAAATTTCATGGGTAAACATTTCTTTCAATATCTTAGAGGCTTATGTGAATGCTTTCAGGGATCTTTTAAGTTTCTTTAATCATTGACTTAAATATTATTGATTGTTGTTATTATTGTTCAACAAATATTAGAAAAAAGTAAAGCAAATAACAAAACACTTTTACTTAAGCATGTGGTTTTTGTTTTTTATTAGTCCAAAGACCCCAAAGAGAAACACCAGCAACACAAACAACTTTGAATCTAACACCTGGAATATCTCCGACGGCATGTCCTCTTCTACCGAAACCAGAAATTAAAACTTCATCGTTTTCATTGACATAGTTGAGTGAACCATCACGTGGAACAAAAGCAGTGATTTTTTTACCGTTCTTCAATAATCTAACTCTAACACATTTTCTAATACCTGAGTTTGGTTGTTTGGTTTCAATACCAAGTTTTTCTTGAACAAGTCCTTTGGCATGTGAAGCAGTTCCAAGTGGATTACACTTATATCTAGTAACAAGCTTTCCTTTTTTCCATTCTTTATCAGCCCATTTGTTAGCTCTTCTTTGAGCAAGCATTTTACGAGCAGCATGAAGACCCCTAGCCATCACTACTTGAAAATTAAAGAAAGATCTAGGGTTCTTTTATTCAAATTTTATAAAATAAAAAACATTTCATCAGGGTTTTGTTTTTTATTTTTGTTATTTAATAAAGTTTTGAAGAAAATGATGTTTAACAAAATGAGTATCTAAAAAATTTATTTGATGAATAATTATTATCGACATAACAGTGTTTGGTTCTTTCTTTTAGTCTGATTTTATTTAAAACTAAATATAAATTTATTTATTAGTATGAAATCTCAGGATATTTACAAGAAATTAACAAATTAAGAGTGACACTTCACGAATTTAAAGATTCAAATGGTTTATTTGAAATATATATTAATGAATTAAAAAAGCAAAAGCAAGACTATGACGATGCACTTGGAAATCAACTAATGTCATTAGAATTGTTGAGACAAGAAATAGAAAAAAAAAAACAAATACTTAATGAATTAAATAATTGAAAGTTTTTTGGTTTTTTATTAAATGAAAATAATTAAAGAGAACTGAAAATGTAATATTAAAGAAAAAATGAATGAACAAGTGGTTTTGCCAAAAAGAGAATTAGGTGTAATTTCGTTATTAGCAATGATGTATGTTTCTTGTATTGGAGGTGCGTATGGAACTGAACCAATTATATCAAGTATAGGACCTATGTGTGGAATTATTTTAATGTATTTATTACCATTTTTTGTACAATTTCCAATGTGTTTATTTACAGCAGAAATGTCACTTTCAATTCCATCTAATGCAGGGTATATTACATGGTATTCAAGTGCATATGGAAGTTTTGGACAATTTATAACACCATTTGTTACATGTTTATCATTGTTTTCAACGTGTTTAGATTGTGCCGTATATCCAACATTATTTGTTAGTTATGTTTCACAAAAATTTATAACACCAAATGGATATCAATATTTAATGAAAATTTCTATTATTTTATTTGGATCATTTATAAATTTTATTGGAGTTAAATGTGTTGGAGTTGTTTCAATAATGATTATTGTAATGGTTATACTTCCATTTATTCTTTTTATTTTCACTGCAATACCATTTATGAATTGGAGAAATTTATCAACGTACTTACCTTATAACCATATAGACTTCTCTACCTTTTTTAGTGTCATATTTTGGAATTTAAATGGTGTTGAAAATGCTGCAAATGTTATTGAAGAAGTAAAAAATCCAACAAGAAATATACCACTATCATTATTTTTGTTAGTTGTGTTAACTTCATTTAGTACTGCAACACCATTAATGGCAGGTGTTGGACTAGATTATCAATGGCCAAATTGGAAAGAAGGTTCATTTATTCATGTAAGTGAATTATTACAAGCAGGGGTTTGGGGAAAAATAGTTTCATGGCTTTTATTTATTGGAGCTTTATTAACTTCAACTGGTTTATTATTAAATGGAATGTGTTTTACTGCAAGAAGACTTCAGGGAATAGCTAATTTAGGAATTAATGATTTTATTAAGAAATTATTTGGAAGAAATAATAAATATTTTGGAACACCTGATACTTCTATTTTATTGACTATGATAATTACTATAGGTTTTGCATTTACAACTACTTTTAATCAATTAGTTGGAGTATCAAGTGCTTTAAGTGCACTATTTTTAATTGGTGATTTTATTACATTCTTTGTATTAAGAATTAGATTTCCTTATTTAGACCGTCCATTTAAAGCCGGACCAACATGGTTAATGATTTTGTTAAGTTCTCCTTCAATATTATTTTGTTTATTTACTGTCTTTTATGGAATTACAACTGATTTAACAACAGTTATTGTAGCATTAACAATGATTCTTTGTTCATTTATAGTATCATTCTTTTTTGCTTTGTTTAGTTCAAAACAAATTGTCCCTCACCAAAATATTATAAATTATCTAAAAAATGGATATAAACCATTACCAAGACATAAAGAAGTTATTGTTATTGATGAACATAATAATTAAATTCAAATTTATAATTTCTATTTCAATTAAACATCATTAAATTATCTAATATTAAAAATATAAAAATAAATAGATTTAAGTAACAATTTACTTATCATTGATTTATTAATAATTTGTTACTCTTTCTCTTTTAAATTCTTTTATTTTGTTTATTTTATTTTACTAACATAAAAACCAATTCTTAAAAAACAAAAAAAATAAGACAAATTGATTGCTTATAAAATGAAAGTAATCCTTTATTAAAAAAAAAGTATTTATCATAAAAACGAGTTTTTTGAACTAAAAAGGTTTCAAAACCAAAATTTAATATAATAAACTCACAACTAAAAAATTCAAAAAAACAAATAAAATTTAATCATAAATTTTAATTTATTCTGTTTTTGGTCTTTCAGCAACTGGTGCAGCAGCTTGTTGTGGTTCAGGTCCAGAGTTACCTTTGAAGAAGAATGTTAAGATTAAAACACCAATCATAATAAACATTCCATACTTTTGGAAGAATGTCTTTGGTGGGATAATAACAGTTCTCTTACCGATAATTAATCTCTTTCCTGATTTTCCATAGGTACTAACAATAAACTTTGGGAATTTTGGATGTGGTATAATAATTTCATATGTATCATTATCAAATTCAACTGTTGATTGATATACTCCTAATGCTGATGTTGCTTCGAAGTCTGCACTGAAAAGAACATTCTCATTAATAAAAACTGTCATTGAATTTCCTTCTGCTTCAACTCTTCCAATTGGATCTTCTTGTACACCATCTATAATAGGAGAAATAGATATAACTCCATCAATAGTAGTTATATTATATGTAAGAATATCACTTGGATTTTCATAATCTCCCATATAATACTCAAATGTCCATTCTCCAAGAACAAACTCTTCAGTTTTCATTTCTGTTTTTGGTTTAGCAGCAAAACAATAAAGGGCAAATAATAGGAAGAAGAAAGTTCTCATTTAATTTTTTTAAGTTCTTTGTTTTTTATTTTTTATAATAAACCAATTTTTTTTTTACACGTTTGATTAATTTTTGATTAGTTTTTTTTTAATATTTTGTTATGACGATGATGAATTTTCTTTGTTTTTAATGAATTAGTTTAAACTATGTTATAAGTAACATAATTTAAATTATTTTAGTCAAAAATCATTTACCAACTGAACTAAAATAATCAAATTTTGAAGTTTAGTCATGACAAATATTGATATACAAAATATAAGTGAAGAATTAATAGAAAAACTTAAACCAGTGATGTTGTCATACCAAAACCAAAAAATGGAAGAGTTATATTTATTAGAAGAGCGTATTAAAAAAATTCAAGAAAGTAATGAACAAATAAAGAAGCTTATTGAAATTTATCAATTAAAACAAAAAGAAAATGAGGATTTAAAAAGTCAAGTCCTTAGTGCTCAAAAAGAATTAAATGAATTAAAAAAAGATCTGCATAATTGAATGTTTACATTTGGCCACATTCAGAAATGATACATTGAATTTTAGGTTGATACCTCTCATCTACAGCAACATTTTCTATCATTCTAACAACTTTCATTCCTTCTATAACTTGTCCAAAAATAACATATTTGTTATTAAACTCTTTTATTGAAGAACACGTTATCATAAATTGACATCCATTAGTATTTGGCCCTGAATTAACCATTGCTAATAACCCTGGTGCAGAGTGTTTTAAATCAAAATTTTCATCATCAAAATATTCTCCATAAATTGAAATACTACCACTGCCATTACCCTATCATTTAAATTAATTATTAATTTAAATTTAACTATTGTTAAACATAAAAAACCAAACATTAACTATATCCCCTCCTTGAATAACAGTATTTTTTATTACTCTATAAAAGCAACTCCCTTTATACCCAGTAGGTTTTCCATTATAAATAAATTGACCAGTACACATCTGTCTAAAATTTTCTACTGTTTTAGGACATACCTCTCTAAATAACTCAAACTTAATCCTACCAATAAGTCTATCCCCAACAGAAATATCAAAAAACACTATTGGGTTAATTGGGTCTTGAAAGGGATCAGATGCTTGTTGCATATTAATTGATAAATAGATTTTTTGTTATTAGTAATATTTGTGTTTTTTAGAAAAGTCAGTCATATTTTTAGAATGACTTTATATTTCAATAAAAAAATTGTAAAATAAAGAAAAGAAATAGAAAGATAAGAAAATGTCAATTCGATGAGGTTTGAAAAAAGGATATAAGAGAACTTTGAAATAAAAATAATCAAAATGGATTTGAAAGAAGCATTTGAAAATAAATTAGAAATTACAAATACACCATCTAAGTCTGATCCCAAAAAATTTAATGTCACTGCTAATTGGACTCAACCAAGTCAACTTAATAATTCTTATATTATCATTGGTCTTTATGCACATAAACGAAAGGATGATAAAAATTATATTACATATGAATATATAAAAGAAAGCCAATCTTCCTATTCATTTAAGGCTGATGTCCCAGCAGGATATTATGATATACGTATTTGTACATATTCTGGATTGACTCGGCTTGCTGTTTATACCCGTGTTTTCGAAGTTTCAAAATATTTTGTTGGAAGTTCTATTGACAATGACTTTACAGTTAAGGTTGAAAGAAACCAACAAGATCCAGAAATTTTAGTATCAATCAATTTACCAGCAGAAGATGGTGATTTTATTGGGATGTTTGAGTCTTCATGTCTTAGTATGAAAGACAGTTATATGATTGGGTTACGTCACACTATTTTTGGTGAAGGTAATCTTCAACGTTATTTTGATATTAACTTGAAAGAGTTAGGTGATACTACAGGAAAAGAATATCAAATAAGGTATTTTAGAAAAGAATGTGAATATCAAAATAAGTTTGATACTTCTAGAGTTCCATTCGCTTTTTCTGAACCATTCAAACTTTAATTTTTTCTTCTTTCTTCCTTTTTTGGTTTTATTCAATATCATAAAACTCAAAATAATCATTTAAAACTACTTCATACTTTACTTGTCCAACAATTTTAGAAAATAACAAAGTCTTCTCAGACGTTAAAAAGTTTATGTTTAGAGTGACTAAAAGAAATACCTAACTTTTCTTAAAAATATATGTCTTAGAATTCTTATGAAATGAAGAGAATAGATATTTTTTATGTTTTAATAATAAAGATAAAAATTTTGAGAAGAAGTGTAAGGATAATTTGACAAAAGACAAATATTATTTTACTATTCCAGTTGTTCATATTTGTTGTTGTGAATGTGTAATGAAAAGCAAAAAGTGTCCAGTTTGTAAAGAAAAGTATGTGATTATGTTGAGATTTTTAATGTTTAAATTCGTTTATTTTTTTATTACAAAGAAAAATTAATAAAAAGAACTTTAAATAGAAACAAACAGATGTCAGTGACCGATAAAATTCATGAAGAAAAGAAACCAAAAAAAAAATGGGACCTTGTTAATGAAGATTTTCTTAAATTATTAAAAGAAAAAGGCCAAAACATTTCTATTGCAATTTCTGATCCAACACAAGCACTAATAGTTGTTCCTCAAAAGGTTGCTATTGCAACCATTGGAAGTAATGACTTAGAAGACCTTTTAGCACAAAAAAAAAAGGGGACTTTTGAATATTCTAAAAATATTTGTATCAATCACTTAGACCAAACATTAAGAACTTGTTTACTCAAAACATCAACACATAAACATCTTCAAAAAGAATACAATATACTTGTTTGTGTTAAAGGAAATTATCAACCACAATTTGAAGAAATGGAATTTGATCCCGATGACTCTTCAACGTATATTAATAAATGTGGTCAAATTCCATTATATTTATTAGTTAGAGGAGATACTGAAAAAGAATTAAATCGTGGAGTCAACGCGATCAATGAAATTCTTAATGGAACACTAACAATAGAAATTTATCCACCATCTTTTAAAAATGAAGAAGATAAAACGTCATTCTATAAAAAGATTATAGGAAAAGATCGTCAGAACATTCAATACATTGAAAAAAAAACTGGTGTTCAACTTCTAGTTAAAGGCAGTGGCTCTGAAGAAGTTTATAATGACTCTATTAAACCATTGCACTTTGTTATTGTTTCTAAAATCCCAATTGCGCTTTTAAAAGCAAAGAGTCTTTGTGATAATTTAATATCACACATTAAAGATAAGTGGAATGAAGGAAAGAGGTAAAGTTGTTTTCTCTCAATTTAACTATTATTTATTTATTATAATTTAATTTACTATAATAATTAATACTATTACTTACTAATTAAATAATAATAAAAATATAGTTAATTTATAATAAAATAGTTATAGGGTTATAAAGAAAAAAGAACTTTTAAAAACAAAGGAATCAATGGTTTGTTTATTACCTCTTTATTTCAAATTTGTATTAATGAAATAACTCTTTCAATTACTTAATTTTATAGGCAACAAGATTCAGACAAACTCGTAGAAGAAGAGGACATGTCTCAATGGGTTATGGTCGTATTGGAAAACATAGAAAACAAAGAGGAGGAAGAGGAAATGCTGGTGGACAACACCATAGAAAGACTTGGTTCACTACATTCCATCCAGATTACTTTGGAAAACATGGAATGAGAGTATTCCATCTTAAAGCTAATAAATATTACTGTCCAAGTATCAATGTAGATTCATTGTGGAGCCTTGTTGGTAAAGATGTTCAAGCACAATACAAAAACGCTAAAGTAGGAGAAGAAGTTCCAGTTATTGACTGTGTAAAACATGGTTATTTCAAGGTTCTTGGTAAAGGATTCCTTCCAAAACAACCAGTCATTGTCAGAGCTAGATATTTCAGTGAAAAAGCTCAACAAAAAATTAAGGCTGTTGGAGGTGCTTGCGAACTTACTGCTTAATTGATTTCTTGTTTTCTCCTATTATTTTTCTTTTGTAATAAGATGATTTAGTTTTTGATAGTAAAATAATATTGAGTTACCTTTCATATAAGGTATTGAAAGGAAAATATTAACTTAAATCTAACAGAAAAAATTTATAACTCTTATTAGATTAGTCAAGTTGCTTCTTTATGGGCAAACCCAGAAAAGTCAATTTTAATATCAAATTCACATCAAAACAACAACTAGTATCTAGTAAAAACAAAATTTATGAAGAAAGTAGTAAGTATTATCAATAATTCGATAGCACTACTTAATTTTTTTGGAAATAAATTATAAAAAATTAATTAAGTATCAATAGAACTTGTGTTTATTATTCCTGGCTCAGTGGAGACTAATACAGTCACTGACTCGTTCTCTAGCAGCTCTACAGAGTATCTTGTATTGTAGAATCAATGTTCCATGACATCCATCATATTTTTAATTATATGGTTTTTAACTTCTTTTATGATGTTAATTTCGATTTTTAATTGTTTAATTAATTTAATACTTTCAAAATTTATTAATTGGTTTATTGAAATTACTACTGCAATTATTTTGACATCCTTTATTTTCTCTATTTTCATTAGTATATTTTTTAATTCCTTTATACTTATTTCTTTTCTTCCAATAGCCTCCATTAATATTGTAATATGCCACAATATTCATATCAAATAATAGATTGGTTTTATTCTTTTTATCTAGTACATATATATCTGGTCTTTTATGATATAGTCCATCACTTTTTGGCATTATTTGTTTGTTCCATATCATAGTAATGTCATTGTATTGGAACACTGTTTCATATTGATTTCATAGGTGATTTCATTTATATTTTGTTATTATCTAATATGATAATACCAATATTATCATGTTTTTCAATTTATGATTTTTTATGATAAATACATGATAATAGAATCTTTTCTATTGTTAATATTTTGTAAATACAGGCACTTTAATCTTTCATTTTTTAATAT